GCTTATTTGAGGGATCCCTCAATGGAAGCTCTCTGTATATATATATATATATATATATATATATATATACAGAGAGCTTCCATTGAGGGATCCCTCAAATAAGCTTATTTGAGGGATCCCTCAATGGAAGCTCTCTGTATATATATATATATATATATACAGAGAGCTTCCATTGAGGGATCCCTCAAATAAGCTTATTTGAGGGATCCCTCAATGGAAGCTCTCTGTATATATATATATATATATATACAGAGAGCTTCCATTGAGGGATCCCTCAAATAAGCTTATTTGAGGGATCCCTCAATAGAAGGGGACTGATATATATATAGTTGACCTTAAGTACGAGTGTCTGCAAGGAAGGAGATGCCTTCAAGAAAGAAGCTAAATGATACAGAAGGAATGGAGCATCTGGTTGAACTATTAGCTCCAAATGCTTAACATTTGGTAATGTAGGACTTCAAGACTGAAAACGAAACATGGATGGATAGTAAGGAACCACATATCCAACAAAAAGATAAGAAAACGAACACATGATAATAATTACAAAATACTAACCAACATCTCGAGGTGAATACCCAACTTGAGAGTCTCTAGTTGAGAAAGAAGGCATAAAAATGGGGCGAAGGCAATCATGATGCTCTCAGGTTGGAACGTCCAAAACACACAAAAGGATACCTCAACAAGCGACGGCAAATTATTTAGAAATAATTTTATCTCGGTCCCGTGATAAGCAAAGGACACAAGGTTTGCATCACAAATCTTAAAACTTTTGAGGCGAAGACAAGATCTTATTGATAAATACTTCAATGAAACTGATGGCCGGACAACTCTTAAATCAACCAAGTTTCTGGCACCCCCCAATGATAATCGTTTGAGAGCTCGACAATTGGACAAGAAGTACTCAACAACTTCTTGGGTCACATCAACACCTATCAATTGAAGAACCCTGAGAAACCCAAAACCAGTTTATCCACAAGAGTGCAGACTTGGAATGTCGCAACAAAAAGGCGTCACTTTTTCCTTTTCAAAACCTAAAATTGTGCGGGGAAGGGAGTAGGGAGCTTCATAAAAAGCACGTTGACAGTCCAACAAAAGCACTTGAACTCTCTTTTCCATTGCAAATTGAATCCATTTATCAATGGAACTTGCAAAACGACGATCGAGATGAAAGCAAACCCTGAACTGTTCAATTGAGCCTCTATGTTGACCCAATTGACATATCTACAACTTTTTTGGTGTCTTACTTCCCGTTCGAGGGCACGGAAGTAGAGCAAATTATCATCATCATCATCAAAACAGAGATTTGTAGTAAAGCACCACACATGACGCCATCGCTTAGAAAGAATACTAGTAGCTGCTGCTTCCTTAAGAGGCAAGAGAGATAATATGATACCGCCAAGAATTTCTTCTGGCAATTCACTGATTCTATCCACCAAGTTGGAGGCATCCTTGACAACAAAACACAAAAGCAAAAAAAGAGTAAGTTACTGCATTGCAATTATGCAATTTGGGAGTGGGCATGCTTTTTACCTCCATTGCAATTATGCAATTTGCAGTTGTTGATGGTTACGGCCTTCTGCGACGAAACGAAGTCCGCTTCGAGGCTGCTCTCTTCTGTGCTGTTTCTTATACGTTTTTGTCTCCTTTTATATTTGGGAGTTTCACTAAAACACCCAAAATGGAGGTTGAAATTATAAAAAAACCCAAGCACTATTTAAACATATAAACACACCCAAAACCCATCATTACACACACTCAAAACCCATTTATAAATACACCCAAAAAGTTGACTTTGAGGTTGATTTTGGGTGTGTTTCTATGTTTAAATAGTGTTTGGGTTTTTTTATAAATACATGTCTAGGATTGGGTTTATTTATAAATTTGTATTTATATTTTTTCTTTAAGAGCCTTGGGCCCATCTTCCTTTACTTTTGGGCTCCGCCGTCTTACGTGGCAAGTGCCAAAAAAAAAAATAAAAAAATCTTTTTTTTTAAAATTATTATTCTTTTTAAATACAAGCGATAATCTCAATTATGAGAGATAGGGCGTTTCTGGCACATATACAACCAATGTGCTGTGAAGATTCGAGTTTGAGACCACTAATTTAAAATCAAAACATATTTACACTAGGCTAGACCATATTGATCTTACTAGTATTTTAATAGGACAATACTTCTCTCCTTACCTAGTAATGTGACTTGACTACAAATTGACATGTGTCCTTTTTTTTTTCTTTTTTTTTTTATGAAGTCTCAAAAGTTTTTTTTTCCTTTTCTTTCATTAGCATAACTTTTTTTTTTTTCATACCTCAATTAAATTTGAAGTCTTTTGTGGACTTTCTAGTCTGTAGAATAAGAAATTCAATCTATGTATAATGTCTCATTGCCTAGTTATAAAAAACTAAGGAGGTGGTTTGTGGGATAGATGAAAAAAAAATTTCAGTTATGAATAATAAAATAGAAGAAACAAAAATATTTTTGAGGGAAAAAAAAGGTGTCAATTTATGGTGGACCCACATCATTAGGTAAGGATGAGTTCCTTCTTCTGGGTAAGAAGGGAAGTTGTCCGTTTTACCATGCAAGCCTAAAAGAAAATGATTCAAACAATATTTTGATAATTAATAAGTTATTAGGAAAAGGCCCCCGCTTAATACCGAGCTTGTTACTCAACTTTCACCATTTTTTTGAGAATTTTATCATCTCCAGGCTACAACTATTCACAAATGAGAAAAAAAAATACTTACAAAGAATGCACCACAAAAGATAAATTTCTTTCTTTATCTAAAATTTATGGACTTTCTTCTGACAAAACAAAAAAAAAACTTATGGACTTCTTCCTACGGGGTCTAGCTCAGTGAAAAATGACATTGATTTGTAAACCAGATATCTCAGGTTCGAACCCCCATGCTATGACATCAGTTTTGTGTGTGTGAGAGAAACCACATTCCCTCTGGTTTAAACTATTGTTTGTATTAATAAAAAAAATTTATAAACTTCTCATGAAACTTTGAATCTAAATTTAGGTCACGTGATAATTGAAATAAACACAAAAGTGTTGCATAACCTTCGCATGAAATAAACACAAGTTATGCCTCATAGTCGTTTGGGGCACTGTTTTTGCTTCACTGAAAGCTTGGGCTATGGGCTGTAGTTGGGAAAGTCACAACATATGGACTTTCCATTTTTCTTTAAACCTCTTTTTTTTTTCTTTTTCTTTTTTCTGAAAATGAAAGAGAGAAGAATTAAGTAGGTGAAAATAGTAACATAATCAATGAATGGAAAAGAGGAACGAAGAAAATGCCAATTCAAATATCTCGTGTATAATACATTTAAAAGTAAGGAATGGCATTATGTGCAGCTTCTTGATACAAATATTTCTAAGGCCTCCATTCCATCTAATTGAACTCAAGAAAACTAAACTACAATGGTTAGAAAAATATGAATTCTTAATTTTATGCGAGTTTCACTTATATCTTAATTTCTTGATGTTAATTAAATGTAGGAGTAATCTGTAATTGAAGTCCAACTACTTATTTTGATTCCGATTACTGAAACCCTACTGGCTAAATTATTCAGAGGAATTCAGAGTAAAACAACTTCTCAACATATTCCCAGCCAAAACTATCAGAATGTACAGAAAACAGTTGTGCCCTTCACCGAAACTACTATTTTGCTCTCTTCTATTTTATAACAATTTTAATGCTTTTTCAAGGGATCTTCTGTTATATTGAGGCAAATGGAATAAGGCAAAAATTAAAATAAAAAATAAAAAATCAGTTATTAGTTCCAAAGTTATCTTTTGAACTTGTGGTGGGTCAACATATATTTTGGGCTTTTATATTCACTTATGATTATTCTAATTACTATTCGAGTATATTGACATAGTATAGCCGCGCGGCTATACTATAAAGGTATAGTTTTTTTTCCCCTCCCCTTTTTATCTTCAAAAGTAAAGAAAACCAACTTTTTAATGTTACTGATAAAAAAGAAAAGGGGCTAAAGGCTTATTTACTTGAAGTAGGAAGAAGGAAGGAGCTTACAGACCTCAGATAGATGAGAGACGGTTGCCGCAAAAACTCGCAGAGAGAGAGAGAGGTGATGGGGATAGTGAGCAAGGCAGGGGATTGGGCATTCAAGGCTTGCACCGCGGGCCTGGGAATCACCACCATATACCTCACCGCCACTTTCTTTGCAAATGTCTACAAAGGCCTCGCTTGGCATAACGCCCAATCGGTAACACTCATCTCTCCCTCTCTCTCCAGCTAGGGTTTCCTTTTATTGTTTTAATTATGGGAGAGGGCCGGCGATTCCACTAGGAACCCTCTCGTGGCCTTGGCCTGAACTTCTGAGTTGCTCCTTCTTTAGTGTGGCCCGCACCAACCGCTCCCAATTGTCGTAAACCCTAGCCATGTCTACGAGGCCGGCTCGGACGAATAGGAGCTCTAGTGAAAATGGCGGACGTATCTGAATCAATATTGACTCAGTCTGACTGGGTGAGTATATGTGAAAAGAATATATTGAAAAGCATATGTGAAATATATTGAAATAGTATATCCGATCGGCTATACTATTTAATATTCGAGTATATTGAAAAGGTTTAGCCGTGCGGCTATAATGTTCAATATTCCAATAGTATAGCCGCTCGGCTGTACTATTTAATATTTGAATATATAGTATAGCCAAGCGGCTATACTATTTACTATTCGATTATATTTAAAGAGTATAGCCGTGCGGCGATACTATTTAAAACTCAAATATATCACAATAGTATAGCCGCCCGGCTATACCATTTTAAATCTCCATGAAACGGCATCGTCCACGTCTTTTCGCCTACAGCATTTTACAAATCTATCCTTTCCATACATAAGCATCCGTTCTCAAAAGGAATTAAAAAGTCGGTGAATCTCAAACCGGATATAGCCGAAAATTATATGAAATAAGGGGTATTTCCGTAAAGATTTCGCTATATAAATCAAACCCCCTCCATTTTTCAGAGTTTGTGAAGCACAAAGGTCGAGCGGAGCAGAGGAGTTTCCGAATTTCCGTTATCCATTCTCTCTCTCTGTATCTCTCGAAGGTTTTTAAATCTCCCTGCAAATTTTAGGGTTTTTGAGCGAATCTTGAAATTTGAATTCGACTGTTGAGAAACGATGGTTTCCGATTCGATCACCAACGCTTCCATTCATGCAGCCCCAAACAACAACAACAACGCCCGGGATGTGGGCAAGAAGAAGAGGGTGAGGTTTCAATTTCCTTTTCCGGTTTACGATCTCTTGTTATTCTGTATACGAATTTGTATTTATTGGTTGATCTTTAGTAAAATTTCTCGTTTATTTGGGGATTTTCAGGCCAGGTCTGCCAAATTGAAGCAGTGCAAGCTCGATGTTCGTCGTGAGCAATGGCTTTTTCAAGGTACGCCCCCGATCTCGTAATTCCTACGTTTCATATGCATGTTTAATTGTGTTCGTGTCGTTAAATTTCTCCGATTTGTCAGTTTTTATTTTAAAGAAAATATTGTTTTGGCATTTGATTGATATGGATTCGATGGGATTTAGGCGCTGTGAAGAATAAGGACTGTAAAGCGGAACAGAACGGCGTCGTTGAAGAACGCAAAGACCGTAATAACCACCGTCCCTTCGGTAATCTAGGGATGAGGCCCGGAGGCGGTGAGAATGACGGATCGATCCATCACCACCACCACCATGACAGCGATTTGGACTCGAACAGTCCGAACAGTTTGACAAGTAGCGTCTTGGGCAGCAACTATTCCGAGACTAACTTCACTGGGTCTAGCAGCAGCAGCAGCAGCAGCGGTGGCTGTTGCTCTGGAAATATCACAGAGGATGATGAAGGCGGTGGCGATGATGGGTGCTTGGACGATTGGGAAGCCGTGGCTGACGCCTTAGCCGCCAACGAGAAGCCGAAAAACCCATGTTTGGAGTCTCCCCCAGAGCATGATCCAATTGCTCAATCGGGTTCTCCTCAGGAAACGACTATTGGGTCTGATGGGCCGAGTTTTGGGGTTGAAAATTCGAAGCCTCAGTGCGCCAGAACTATCCCTAAAGCTTCAGGAAATGGCCTGGCTTGGAGGCCTGACGATGCTTTTCGGCCTCAGAGTCTGCCCAATTTAGCTAAGCAGGTTAGCTTGCCAAATTCGAACCGGAAACATTACGGTTGTGGTGGTGTTCCTTGGGCCTATAGTGGTGTTGTTTCTGTGCCATCCTCATGTCCTATATGCTATGAAGATTTGGATTTCACGGACACGAGCTTTCTGCCATGCTTGTGCGGATTCCGGCTCTGCCTTTTCTGCCACAAGAGGATTCTCGAGGAGGATAGCCGCTGTCCTGGCTGCAGGAAGCCCTATGAGCATGAGCCTGTTGAGGCAGAGGCAAGTGTGCATGGAGGTAGCCTCACGTTTCGGCTGCCTCGTTCTTGTAGCCTGATCACAAGGTCCTAAAAAGAACTTATGTTTTCGCGAGATATGTACTCTGGTCTCTGTTTTTTGTGTTTCATTGGTTTTTGCGTGTTCTACAGTCTTAGAATTTGATTTCTTTAGTTAGATGTGGGTATAGGGTTTTGAGCGCCCGGAATTGATCTGCTTCTCTTTTGAGTTGGTTCTTATCTGTATGGTGCATGTGCTGAGGTAGAGAACTCAGTGACTCAGTGTTCTTATGTGAATAGATAAGGTGGTATAGAAATTCAATACATGAAACAAGTATACACTATTATGGTATTTCTTTTTATCTTTTCAATTTTTGCTTATCTTTGCTACTATTTCATTCTCCCATTTTAGTTTGGGTTTATTGACGTTGCTAATTGATGATGTAGAAGGCATCCTTGTCCCTGATCAGTGGTTCCTAATGATTTAAACTGTGTAGTTTCATAGTTGTATCTCTAAGGCTGGATTTGGATTCAAACGAAAGGTTCGCTTCATTAATCTCAGTTGTTAAACCATGGTTATCTAGCAATTGTGGATCTTGGTTGATACCATTGTTTAACTTCTGAGATTACTGTAATGGACCTCCCCGTAATGGAGGGGATCTGAGTCTTCTTAGGTTATGGTGTATAGCATTTTCATGTGGAGCTCTGGGTAAGATTTCTGCACATGGGCTCCAGTCTTTTAAGGTTAACATGGATATTGTCAAACCCTAATGCACAATTATTTTATGCAGGTAATTTGTTCCATATGACAGAATAGGGTACCACATTTCTGTTCTAGTTGTTTGGGACTTTGCATTTTGAGGTTAAGTTTGTCTAGTACATTTGGCGTATCTTTGTTTATATATAATATGTTTTTGCTTTTGTCATCTGATACAAAGTTTTCTATTATTGCTAAATATTAGATGATGGTGGAAAGCATTACTCCATGATGAGTTTTGTTAAGATCCTTTGTACTTACATTTGCTTGTTGCACAAGTGTCCAAGATTGAAGGTCTTGCCATTCAGTATTTGCTGCTGTAAGTGCTAAGGCAGATTTTCATTTGCCTTTTTAGAGTTCATGCATATATTTACTTGGAGATCATTTGGTTTGTCATCTGTTTAAGGGGAGGGACAATATGTGTTGCTATCACTCTTCTACAAGGAACCTAGAAGTGTCTCTTGCTTAGGATGGGGTTGGTATTGTCGTCTAGGGTAATTCCCCTCTGTATCAGGCTGTGAACCTTATCAACTTCTAGCTGTGCATTAGCCAAAAGCTTATATGGTGTTGTTATATCTAATGTGGGTTATATTGCCAATTTGGCAGCGTCTTTTGCTCAGGTTGCTGCTTTCCTTTTTATAAGACTTGCTTCATTCCTGTGTAGCTTGATAAGTGAGTCACCTTTATGGCACGAAGCTCTAATACTTGTGTCGCTTTGGATTTAGTACTAGGTACCCCTTTGCCCTGAGATAAGCGATGCAGTCTTCTCCTTATACTTCTCATGCCTGTTTCTGTTTCTATTGTGATGGTTATGAATTAACTGGTATGCAACCGTTATGCATGGCTTCTTTGCTCTTCCTCTAGCACCCTTGGCAAGGAAATTAAACTCAATTGTATAAGAAGAAAGAATAGATCACCCTCTTCATTGATAGGGTCGGTGTAACATCAATATGCCTTCTGCACATAAAAAAGTGATTCAAGTATTGTTATTATGTGTCACTTTTACTCTGTTGAACTATAATCTGTTTTAGAGAGAGGAAGTATCCTGACATTTCAGAAACTTCTGTTATTTTGTGACCCCTTGTCTTCACAAGTATAGTTGTAATGTGCTGAACATTTAATCCCCGTGTTTTTATAATTAAATCTTGTTATCTTGATTATGGGTTGGAACTTTGAAGGGCGTGGTGTGTGAAGTTCAATATACAGCATATTTATTTGATCTTCTTGATATATCATAATCAAGCAAATCCATTCACAAAAAGAAACAGGCTTAACCGAAACTCTCCATATGGGTGTGTACACAAAGTGAATTTATCAATGGCAACATTTATTTTTCGGCCAAATGCAATAAAAACAACACCAAAGCAAAACACACACTTAGTAGATCACACCCCATACCAAACCCCAAATCAAGAAATTGGAAATCCAGGGAAGCCCTTGCTCTGTAAGGCGACTCAATCTCCTCTTATTATTGACTCCTAGAACTACTCTTGCATGCTTCCTTGATCATCCATGAGCCCTGAAATGATTTTTGATTTGAGTGGTGGAGGCAGCGGCTGCCACCAACTGTAAAAGGTCGACGACTTCAATAAGACGTCCTTACCAACCAACCCTTCGCGAATCCAGTTTCCTACTTCTCTTTGCAGCAACTCCTCCACCTCTGCCCAAAACCACGATTCCCCGCAGGAACCTGCTGGCAGTTTTTTTTCATGCTCGAGCCATCGTTGCAGGTATTTGTACCGCTTTGGCCTGCCTTTCTTCATGTATGATCCGGTGTCCTCATCCTTGGAGTGCCTATAGTAGTTAGCAATGTCAATAGGCTCAACAAGACGGCGGAACCTGGTTCCTAGTTGTATCCATTCTTTTATAGCCTCGAATTCATCAGGAAGCTCATATCTTTTCAACATTTCGATAATCTCATCCCATATCCCTATTAACACAATCCTACTCACATTAGCCTCAAAGTCTCTCCTGTCCTTCTGAATCTTGAAGGCGTCGAAATATCCCACATTGTGCTCACACAAGGCTCGATATTCTTCTAGGTTTTCCAATGCTTTCTTCATTTCTTCCCTTTTTCCATCAACTTTTTTCTGGTTTTCTCCTTTTTGCTTCTCTGATTCTCCGGCAGCACGAAGGCATAATCTAGCTTCTGCACTCTGCAGATTTACAAGCAAGATATCAAAGCAAACCACATTAGAGATATCTTAACAATCAGAACAAAGAGATTTTTAAGTACCAAAAATACAACTTACCAAGCCAAGGTCATCCAAGTAACGATCTGAGCCTAAGCAGAGCTCTTCTAGTTTATCAAGAGCAACCACATCTTGCATGTCTAAGCTACATTCACCACCTAGAAATTCCTTCTCATAGCTGAAATGCTCGTTCAAGCAATTGTGGGCAATGGCTGCCCATTCCGTTTCGCCGCTTAACTGACAAGAGTAGAACAAGGTTTGCAACACAGCTTCAGGGTTTTTCAAGACAACCAATTTCCCATTCCCAGTGCCAAAAACATATGTCCCGAAAGGCTTGTAAGGGCTCAGCTTAATGAAGTGTTTTACAGTTTGCAGCACTTGATTTGTGCTCCCCATTAGTTGAGAGGCAACATGGGTTGTAAGAGCTGATGCATCCCTCATCACATTTGTATACAAATGCCAGGCCTCTAGGGATGTTCCAAGAATCTGGCTTCTAAAGTAAGGCGATTTTGGATCGAAGAAGGGGAGAATTTTCTGCAATCCTTGGTGAATGGATGAGAGAGGAGCAAGCAAAATCCTAGGGACAATATCATATCTCATGACAAAATGTATGAAGTATTGAGACCAATTCTCCCTCCTAAGAGCATGAGAAATAATATGGTTACCAACAAGGGGAGATCCAAAAGTCACACAGAAGAATGTTGCAGCATTTGTTTTCGGGTACTTTTGCAAGAACCAGATTGTGGCAAGCGCAGCAATTGCTCCACCTGTAGAATGCCCTGTAAATATTATACTCTTCCTTTCATTGATAGCGTCTTGCACCTGAGAAAACCACAAAAGAATCAATGAAAACACTTGAATATTTACAAGTAAATTCCCTGTAAAATATTACATATGTACATAAATTTATGAAAAACTTACCTGATTAACAAGCTGGGAAGTCTGCAAAACATGTTCAAATTTTTGCAGAAAGGCTTGGTTCACGAAAGCAATTGCAAATTCTAGGTCTCCTGGTTTTGCAGTTTCATTATGGTTGCCTATGCTTTTCATACAAGGAAACAGTGCAGGTGTGATCACTGTTTCTCCAAAAGCTTTTTCTCCAGAAAACCAACTGTCCACAGACCAAGATCCTGGAAAGCAGAAAAAAGCATGGGATGAGGCAGGGGGCTTCTCCACAAGAAGCAGCTCATCTGGGAAGTTCTGAGCCTTCAAGGAAAGATAGCAACTTTTCTTGATAAGCTCCTCACTAAGATTCAACATCTCTCCAAGCCTTCCAGAAGCCATTTTTCTGAGTTTCCTGTTTTGATCAATTTTTCTTGTTCAGATTCTTTGTTCTGGGTCTTGTTTTTAAGGAATATTGAAGATGGTAACAAAAAAAAAAAACCCCTTGCCTTGACCAAGACTTGTTGGTTTTGAGTGTGGATGATTAAACAAGTCAGTGACCTGAAAGTCAACAAGAACTTCTGGGAACTTTCGTTAAAAGTGATTATCATAATCGAAAATTCTGGAATGTTCATCTGTTACTGGTGCAAAAGGAAAAGAAAATGATTTTTCTTAAGGGGCATTTGGTATCATATTCAAATAGGGAACTCAAAAACTTTGATTTTTCTTAAAAACAAAGAGTTCTTAAATCTATTTTTAAGATTCAAAAACTTGTTTGGTATGCAACTTGAAAACTGTTTTCAAATCTTAAAAATTTGAGAACTTGTGGGTTGTTAAAAACAACTGAAAAAACAGATATTTTTTGTTTTTAATAATTGGGGTGTTTTTTTAGTTGTTCTTGAGTTTGAGTTTTTAAAAATAAGGCTATCGAACAAGTTTTCTTTGTTTTGGACTCAAATTCTGTTTTTAAGTTTAAAAAGTTGGATTCAAGTTGAATATCAAATAGGCTCTTATTGTTTGCAATAATAGTCTTAGTGACGTTTTTTTTGTTTGTTTGTGTGAGCCCAGTAAATTCGGGGATGTATTTTCTTTCAATCGGGTTGCTGAGAAAATGTTTGTTTTACTTTTAGGAAAACAAACACTTTGATGACAATGTTGTTTTACTTTTGATGACGTAGGAAAAGAACTCAAAGAACATTCATAGTACTTTTAGGAAAAGTGTTTGTTTTACTTCGGTTTAATTTGATAATTAGTGCAGCAGAAGGCAGAAAATACAAGGGCTCATCCGAAGTGAATTTATTACAAGGGAAAGCAACACAAAAACACACGAACCACAGGGAGACGAAGACCATAGTAGCCCTGGCTCTGGCAGATGAACAAGAATTCAAAACATTTGACACACACAAGAATCAAAGATACTACCACATTTCCATACACACAGAGTAATCCATCTTCTTACTTTTCTCTCTTGCCCTATCGCTTGAGTAACTCCTCCTCGTCTGCCCAATGGCAGGAGGAGTTTCCACAGGCTCCTGGC